AAATCCACTAGGATTATGATGTGGGCGCGAACCTACGACCCCGGCATTGCCAAGCCGCATACTCTGCCACTAGACCATCGTTGACATGTAAAGGTCATACAACCGGATTTCAGTAGAAATCCTGTTGTATGACTGTTGTAAGTGCCGGTGGTCTAGTGTTAGAGTACGTGACTGACAATGACTGGGGTCGTAGTAGATATTTTCATTGATATATATATATCACGTTAATGTGATTACTGTGTGTTTCTGAAGTTGGGGTGTAAGGTGTAAGGTGACCAGTTTGCCCTTCCACCCAAGTGCTTGTGGGTCATATAATAATAATAATAATAATAATTTTTATTCAGGTAAGGTACATACATAAAGAGATTTTACAAAGTTTGTTGGGTTAATAGATAGAGCTAGTACATACAATGCCTAAAGCCACTATTACGCAAAGCGTTTCGGGCAGGGCAGTTTGTTCATATGTACAAACTTGGACTGGTTTCGAGTCTTCTAGAGCTCAGGTGAATGAAATTTATGACCACTGTCCAGGGCGCCGGTGGCTCTGTGGATAGCACACTGGATACGTAATCCTGTGACCCGGGTTCGATTCCCTGCGCCGGCGAGAAACAATGGGCAGAGTTTCTTTCACCTTGATGCCCCTGTTACCTAGCAGTAAATAGGTACCTGGGAGTTAGACAGCTGTTACGGGCTGCTTCCTGGGTTGTGTATGTGTGTGAACAAAAATAGTAGTTAGTAACAGTTGATTGATTGACAGTTGAGAGGCGGGCCGAAGGAGTAGAGCTCAACCCCCTCAAGCACAACTTGGTGCTTGCGGGGGTTGGTTTCTAAGGATATACTGATAACCGTATATCCTTAGAAAAATGTATTTCCTTAGATAACGTTATGTCCTCAGAAAGAATTATATCCCTAGAAAGAATTATGTCTTTATAAAACATTATGTCCTTTGATAGAATGATTTCCTTAGATAAAAAGAGTTCCTTAGATAAAAAGAGTTCCTTAGATAAAAAAAAGTTCCTTAGATGAAAAAGAGTTCCTTAGATGATATTAATTCCTTAGTTAACCTTATGTCCTTAAATAACCTTATATCTTTATATAACACTATGTCCTTGTATAATCCAATGTCCTTAGATAAAATTGTGTCCTTAGATTACCTTATGCCCAGATATAATCTTATTTACCTGAATTTACTCGAAGGGAAGAGCGGAATTTACTTAATCTCTCTAGAGGTCTTCACGAAGACAGGAAGCTGTCGGCTTGTCAAAGGTCTCCCCATTTTGTTCTGATAATTTTATGTATTTGCATCTTAAATTGCAGCAGTGTTTTTGGCATTATATGGCTTCGGTGGGTAGGTAGTTCCATGAGCTTAAAACCCTATGGGTGGAAAAGCATTTCTTTGTTTTCTGTCCTATACTGTGGCTTGTTGAGCTTGTTGAGTCTAACCTATTGAAGAAGTGGTCTGCATCAACATCCTCCAAATTGTTCAGTATTTTAAAGGTTTCAATGAGATTCGCCCTGTCATGCCTGGTTTGCAGTGTTGTCAGCCCTGTGGCCCTCAACCGTTCCTGACACGAGAGACGACTAAGATCTGGGATGATTTGTTTTGCTCAGTGTTGCACTTTCTTCATAGCAGCTATGTTCTTCAGAAGTCTCCATGCTTGGATACAGTAGTCCAAATGGGGCTGTACCAGAGATTTGAATCACTACCTTTCTTTCCTAAAAGTCAAAGGAAAGTTTGATTATTCCAAGAGTTTGGTTGGCTTTTTTGACTGCTGCTCCTACGTGTTGGGCAGCTTTCAGTGAGTTGGCAGTATTACCCAGATTTTACATGGGCAAGCGATTATAAACTATAAGCAGTATTTGAATTCGGCAACTGAAGAAAGTTGGGTAAGACTTATTCCGTTTATTTATTTATTTATTTATTTATTTATTTATTTATTTATTTATTTATTTATTTATTTATTTATTTATTTATTTATTTATTTATTTATATATATACAAGAAAGTACATTAGGTTTGTGAAAGTACATAAAATTGGTGTCCTTACATCCTTGCAAAACCACTAACACGCCTAGCGTGTCGACCATTGTTTCGAACCCGACTCCATCGTCGGAGCATGGAGCAGCGATGTCAACGCCATCTGTGAGTCCGCTCCCGAAACCCCCACAAAATAGAAATAAATAAATAAATAAATATGTTTATTCAGGTAAGGTACATACATACAAGTGATGTTACATTAATGGATTGATATATAGATAGAGCTAGTACATACAATGCCTAAAGCCACTATTACGCAATGCGTTTCGGGGAAGAAAAACATTAATATCTAGAACTTAATACTAATTGAGCATAAAGAATAAAAAGTGTTGAAAACAAATACAAATAAAGATAAAAAAAAAGGGGGAACATGACTGAAAAAGCAGCACAAATACAGTAGGTTGACAAACAGTGTTGATTAAAAAAAAAAAAATAAAAAAAAAAAAATAACAGACATGGGTTGACAATAGAGGAGTGAGGTAGGTTACAGGGAATTTATTAGGTAGTGTTTAGTTTTTATCTTAAACTGGTTGAGAGAGGTCATTCCACATTCAGAACGATGTGGAATAGACGATGCCATCTGGTGTTGGCAGTATGATACATGCAAGAGATGCTAGATTCCTGCCTTGGTCAGTTCGAAGAGTCGCTGTTGCTGACCTCTGGTGAGGTGGCGCCTAGAAAATCAGCGCCATCTATTGTGGGAGGAGTTGTATGTTAATGTCAGGCTCCGTAAGTGGCATGTCCTAGTTTCACAAGATCTGGCCAGTGTACTGATGACGTGTCTGTATCCACAAAGGCGACGTAGGGCTGCAGGTGGTACGAGGACAGTCAGTCTACCCAGGGCAGCCTATTATATCTCTACTCCATTCTGCTTTACGTGAGCAGTGAGCCGCCGCTGAAGAGGAACTGAGTAGTAGCTGCTGTCTGCCTGTGAAGTGGCAGTGACAGAATTCGGCGTACCCGGGACTGGCTAGAGGAAGAGACGACTGACAGTAAGGTGCTACGGAGGAGTGTAACTAGCTAGTTGCAAGAAGCTCCTGCCAGGGGTTCGCTACCCTTGTATTCGTTCGTGTAGAGGCCCAGCATCGCGAGGCTGATGTTCTCTGCCAGCACCAGGTTGGAGAGTGGTTGTGGGCGTTCACAAGGAGCACCTAGTGAGACTGTAGATAGGCTGGGCCATGGATAGGGTAGACTCGTTAGTGTTTCCCAGTACTGGTTGAGGACGGTACTGTGTGTTGAGGAAATACGGAAGTTGACAAGGCTGCATTGCATGAGCATCGAGGAGCGCTTAGTGTCCTATGAGAGTGGCGCATGTATATATATCCACTGATATATATACATGCGTCGCTCTCATAATACTTCGTAATCATAGTAATGATTACTCTCATAGTAATACTTCGTTTATGATTCTATTTAAGGCGATGGGAAAGTGAGAATATGTGAATATATCGATAATTGATGAAGTGTCTTATATCTTTCAACTCCCCCCTTGTGTTTTACTTGCATTACCAAGCTCACTCCTTGAAAGTCACTACCGACTTGGGGTCGAATACTAGTACTTTGGTTCCTCTAGCAAAGAACCCGGTTGCGACCCATAGTGGCTGTAACAGCCATGCATTTCAAATTCATTAGCATAGTCTTCAGTATTTAATTTACCATGAATAATTGAATATGTAGGCCTCTAATTACTAAAATACTTAAGTTAAATTATGGGTGAACCATTTGTAATAACAAAAATATTTGGTATGTCGAAATTAGCACATTGAATATTGTCTTCTCTTAGTTTAGATGAACAGAAGTCAATATTGATTTATTAAGTATTTATTTTATTACTTGCTATCGTAATTTTACTTGTCTTTAAATAAAATACATCTTTAATACGAGTTATAGACACACACACACACACACCATATTTCTGGCAGGACGGGATAGGACAGAGACCCGCCGTCAAAGGTATTGTATTTTGAGTCCCCAGTTACAAGGCTTATTTAGTCGAGACGAGACTTATATACGGTTTACATAAAGCTATAGCTGGTCTGTCGGAGTCGTAGCTTGAAGTGTTCTTGGGAAGAACTTTTTATGTTTTATTTCTATATACAAATGTTCTTGCATTTTTATACAGCCACTAATACGCACAGCGTTTCGGGCATGTCCTTAATCCTAGTTTCCCCGGAATACGACCCGCCAAATGGTTTAACAACAAGACATCCATTCACTGCTGGGTGAACAGAGGCGTAAAGTTAAGAATTGGTGCCTAGTCAATCCTCCCGGCCAGAATACAAACCCAGGGCAAATCGCATTCGTAAATAGCTTCCGGAATCGCGACGTAACTGCCACTACGGTGGTAAGAGCGAAAAATTTCCTGAGTTTACCTCATAAGTACTTGTGTAATTACTTCATGAATCTGACTCGTTATGTTTGCTGTTAACCTTATTGCCTTAGATAACCATATATCAATAAATAACCTGAAGTCCTTAGATAACCTTATGTGACAGTGTCAGATCACGAAGGATTGAAACAGGAATTTCCTTTTAATTTTAAGGAAATTCCTGTTTCAATCCTTCATTCGTGGTCTGACACTGTCACATTTTTCATCACGTGTTAATTTTCCTGATTTGCACACACACAACCTTATGTCCTTAGAGATAATCTTAAGGCCAACATCCCATCATGGACTTAAGGTGGACTTGACCTTAAGTCCATTTCCCATACTCACCATACTGGCCCACACTCACCATACTGTCCCACACTCACCTTGCTGTCCCACACTCGCCTTGCTGTCCCACACTCACCATACTGTCCCACACTCACCATACTGTCCCACACTCACCATACTGTCCCACACTCACCTTACTGTCCCACACTCACCTTACTGTCCCACACTCACCATACTGTCCCACACTCACCATACTGTCCCACACTCACCTTACTGTCCCACACTCACCTTACTGTCCCACACTCACCTTTCTCTTTCTCCCGGCCTGAGACCTTCCTTATCCAGCAGCTCCCACCACCACCACCGTGCTCCGTGTTAACGATCTGTGGATATAAAGTTACTGGAGTAACTTTTCTCTTGTGTATATTTATACTTCAGACCTATTTAAAATACTGTATTACCTTGATATATGGAGATAACTTTGTTTTGCTTCCACTGAAACACAGTACCCAAATTTTCTTTGATTCATTTTGCAATTTAAAAAATAAAACATCAAGCAAAAAATACTCTAGACCTACTGGGTCATACGGACTAAATTGTGAATGAGGGTAACCTAATATAGCAGGCGATGAGTCACAATAACGTGGCTAAAGTATGTTGACCAGACCACACACTAGAAGGTGAAGGGACGACGACGTTTCGGTCCGTCCTGGACCATTCTCAAGTCAATATAGCCCTTAGCGTACATTAAAAAAATTACTTCGAGCAGATGAAATGATATATCTTTACGGGGCGCTACCTGGCGTTGGGGAAGTGGGCCAGACCTCCTACACCTGCAGCACTCATACCATGACCTGTTTGGCTCTGTTGTTTGACGTCATTTAGCAGCCCCCCTGTCACAGTCCAACCCGTCCTAAGACGATGTCCATTCCATCCAGCGGTAGACCTTCTCAAGACCTTATTGTGTCAAGATCTTTCTCCACTACTCAGCTCTCCACATCAACTTGACTGCGACTGCTTGACACCCTTTATTCTGCCACAGCCTTTTATAAACTACAGTACTCTATATTAATGTACAGCCAGGTACACACATCAGCACACACACACAAACACATAATACAAGCCTGGGCTGTATTATGTAATCCCAAGTTGGCCGTGTTCCTAGGCTACAACTCTGGTCTTAATATTCTTTTATCTGAACTGTCTAGGGGAATGAGGCTTTTAGTTATACTAAAAATAAATTCAAGAAGTAGGCAAACGGATGAGTGGAGAGATGACAAAACAATTATATTTATCAGACAAACACACACACGATATATTACATGACATAATTTACTTCTTACAACTCAAGGTCATTCTGATAGTTAAAACACTGTATCTTATCCTCCTCCGGGGTCTCCAGTCACCCTGTAGATCTAGTCCAACACTGGACGATCACGAAACACTGATCATTTGTATGCGGAAAATCCACAGAGAAACGGAAAAGAAAGATGAACGTTTCGGCCGATGAAGGCCGTTGTCAACACTAGACTACAAGAAATCACAAAGGCCACACACTCACTTTACTCAGACTAAAGTAACCAACAATGTTGTCTGTAGTAACCTACAGACTACATTCTTGTTGTCTAGTGTTGACAACGGCCTTCATCAGCCGAAACGTTCATCTTTCTTCATATATATCCTTCATCCATTCATATCTGTATATGTGTGTATATATATATATATATATATATATATATATATATATATATATATATATATATATATATATATATATATATAATATGTCGTACCTAGTAGCCAGAACGCACTTCTCAGCCTACTATTCAAGGCTCGATTTGCCTAATAAGCCAAGTTTTCATGAATTAATTGTTTTTCGGCAACCTAACCTACCTAACCTAACTTTTTCCGCTACCTAACCTAACCTAACCTATAAAGATAGGTTAGGTTAGGTTAGGTAGGGTTGGTTAGGTTCGGTCATATATCTACGTTAATTTTAACTCTAATAAAAAAAAATTGACCTCATACATAATGAAATGGGTAGGTTTATCATTTCATAAGAAAAAAATTAGAGAAAATATATTATTTCAGGAAAACTTGGCTTATTAGGCAAATCGGGCCTTGAATAGTAGGCCGAGAAGTGCGTTCTGGCTACTAGGTACGACATATGTCTATATATGACATATGTCGTACCTAGTAGCCTGAACGCACTTCTCAGCCTAATATGCAAGGCCCGATTTGCCTAATAAGCCAAGTTTTCATGAATTAATTGTTTTTCGACTACCTAACCTAACCTAACCTAACTTTTTCGGCTACCTAACCTATGAAGATAGGTTAGGTTAGGTTAGGTAGGATTGGTTAGGTTCGGTCATATATCTACGTTAGTTTTAACTCCAATAAAATAAAATTGACGTTATACATAATGAAATGGGTAGCTTTATCATTTCATAAGAAAAAAATTAGAGAAAATATATTAATTCATGAAAACTTGGCTTATTAGGCAAATCGGGCCTTGCATAGTAGGCTGAGAAGTGCGTTCTGGTTACTAGGTACGACATATATATATATATATATATATATATATATATATATATATATATATATATATATATATATAATATATATTAGTATATTTTGGTAGCAGTCTTTCCTGTAGACATATATTTTTAAATATGACCGAAAAAGTAAGATTAATAATTCTAACGCGAATTTTCTCAATCTTTCGTACATTTCTTTTCACTGTTGGAGGTAATTCAAAAATCAATTCTCCAAAATTCATTTTTATTTCTAGTCTGACGCGACACTTGAGCGCGTTTCGTAAAACTTATTACATTTTCAAAGACTTTACACATACACAAATTAATAGAACTTACATATCTCCGATTTGTTTATATCTACATTTGAGTGAGGTGGATGGGGTGAGGTGGTATTTAATAGGGTATTAATTTCATCAACACAAGACAGAACACGAAACAATGGGTATTGAAATGGAAGTGATTGTAGAAAGCCTATTGGTCCAAATTTCTTGATGCTTCTATATTGGAGCGGAGTCTTGAGGTGGGTAGAATATAGTTGTGCATTAATTGGCTGTTGATTGCTGGTGTTGACTTCTTAATGTGCAGTGCCTCGCAAACGTCACGCCGTCTGCTATCGCTGTATCTATCGATGATTTCTGTGTTGTTTACTAGGATTTCTCTGGCGATGGTTTGGTTGTGGGAAGAGATTATATGTTCCTTAATGGAGCCCTGTTGCTTATGCATCGTTAAACGCCTAGAAAGAGATGTTGTTGTCTTGCCTATATACTGGGTTTTTTGGAGCTTACAGTCCCCAAGAGGGCATTTGAAGGCATAGACGACGTTGGTCTCTTTTAAAGCGTTCTGCTTTGTGTCTGGAGAGTTTCTCATGAGTAGGCTGGCCGTTTTTCTGGTTTTATAGTAAATCGTCAGTTGTATCCTCTGATTTTTGTCTGTAGGGATAACGTTTCTATTAACAATATCTTTCAGGACCCTTTCCTCCGTTTTATGAGCTGTGGAAAAGAAGTTCCTGTAAAATAGTCTAATAGGGGGTATAGGTGTTGTGTTAGTTGTCTCTTCAGAGGTTGCATGGCGTTTCACTTTCCTTCTTATGATGTCTTCAACGAAACCATTGGAGAAGCCGTTGTTGACTAGATCCTGCCTTACCCTACAGAGTTCTTCATCGACTTGCTTCCATTCTGAGCTGTGGCTGAGAGCACGGTCGACATAAACGTTAACAACACTCCTCTTGTTCCTGTCCGGGCAGTCACTGTTGGCATTTAGGCACATTCCTATGTTTGTTCCCTTAGTGTAGACTGCAGTGTGGAAACCTCCGCTCCTTTCCATGACTGTTACATCTAGAAAGGGCAGCTTCCCATCCTTTTCCATCTCGTAAGTGAAACGCAACACAGAATTCTGCTCAAATGCCTCCTTCAGCTCCTGCAGATTTTTTTCTTATGAAATGATAAAGCTACCCAATTCATTATGTATGAGGTCACTTTTTTTATTGGAGTTAAAATTAACGTAAATATATGACCGAACCTAACCAACCCTACCTAACCTAACCTAACCTATCTTTATAGGTTAGTTTAGGTTAGGTAGCCGAAAATGTTAGGTTAGGTTAGGTTAGGTAGGTTAGGTAGTCGAAAAACAATTAATTCATGAAAACATGGCTTATTAGGCATATTGGGCCTTGCATAGTAGGCTGAGAAGTGCGTTCTGGCTACTAGGTACGACATATATATATATATATATATATATATATATATATGTCGTACCTAGTAGCCAGAACGCACTTCTCTGCCTACTATGCAAGGCCCGATTTGCCTAATAAGCCAAGTTTTCATGAATTAATTATTAATCGACTACCTAACCTAACCTAACTTAGCTTTTTCGGCTACCTAACCCAACCTAACCTATAAAGATAGGTTAGGTTAGGTTAGGTAGGGTTGGTTAGGTTCGGTCCGATATCTACGTTAATTTTAACTCCAATAAAAAAAAATTGACCTCAAACATAATGAAATGGGTAGCTTTATCATTTCATAAGAAAAAAAATAGAGAAAAAATATTAATTCATGAAAACTTGGCTTATTAGGCAAATTGGGCCTTGCATAGTAGGCTGAGAAGTGCGTTCTGGCTACTAGGTACGACATATATATATAATATATATATATATATATATATATATATATATATATATATATATACCTACTTTATACCTATATATATACATATACCTATATATATACATATACCTACTTTCTGAGGTGTTCACCATCTTACAGTAGCCAAAAACTAAGGGAGTATGACCGGTTACTGAAATCAATGCTAGAAAAAGCCCTTAACCTCTCTATCGATGACCTATAGTGGAAACAAGCCTCTCTTCCCGTAAGACTTGGGGGCCTCGGAGTTCGAACAGCAACGCAAATCGCTGTTCCAGCCTTCTGTCCTCCTTATCAGCATCCGACGACCTTGTGAAGGAAATTCTACCTGCCCACTTACATCAGCTGGCAGGTGTACATGATCCCAATTTTACACGCTGTGCCACAGAGTGGGCCTCTCGTGCAGGCCAATCACCTCAACCACCATCCCCAAAAGCCCACAGGCAATCCAGCTGGGATGGCCCCATTGTAGACCAAGTTGCTGCAGAGTGCCTGTGTGCTGCAACAACACAACACGACATTGCTCACCTCACAGCAGTAGCAGCACCACATGCAGGGGATTTCCTGTTAGCAACCCCAATGTCGGCAACTGGCACGCGTCTCACACCACACGCCCTCCGAATTGCTGTGGCCCTCCGCCTTGCTGCCCCAATCCACACCAGATATAGGTGTATTTGCGGCGAGGTGGTGGCTGACAGATACGGCCAC